ATCCCCCTTGCGCGGAGTGAGGGTTCTCCACCCCGCACAACATGATGTACGCGACCACCATTATGATTACCGCCAAAAAATAAAAAACGGAGGTAAAAAAAAAACGGTAATCTNCATTGACCTCGCATCCCTACAAAGCCGGGACGGAGCACGCCGGGTTCTCACCGGACCAGGCTCTCACATCACCAAGCGCGAAGCGCCGTGAGATATTCGGCGAGTCGCATGAAGGGTGCGCTTCATCCTGCTAAGGGTGTTCGGCATCTTGTGCTTACACTCTTGCGTACAGATGACAGCTGTGTATGACTTAATTTATTTTCTGGTGCTTTCACTTCCTGAGACAGTTGTAAGCACTGTGTAACTGCCTCGAGGATGCTTGACCCATTTAACACAACGTGGTGCGATCATCCCCCTTGCTCGTAGTGAGGGTTCTCGACCCAGTTCAATATAATCTACTCGACCACCATTATGGTTACCGCCAAAAAAAAAAAACGGGAACCTGGTTGTCGAGTTCACCAAGTGAATTGGCTTGTTTTACAACGTCGTTGCCAAGCAACGAAAACCCAATCCCGATGGCAAACACCGAGGGGGGGGGTGGCAGGGCGTGGGGAATTGGACAGTGTATCGGACAGTTTTTGTTGCCGATACGTCTCCATATAATGAATCGGAAACCAATGGGACCATGGTGTTTTCAAGACATGGTGTCTGATTGTTGTCCGATTCGAGAGGTCGCAATTTGGTTTATACCGTAGGCATCTTTGCTTTCCGCTTCATTTTTCACAGCTAATGTACAGCTCTACCATAGTCAACAGTAAGGTGTGTCTCTGATCCAAGTCCCTCCTCGAATCCAAGGTGTCGCCTATCTGCGTGAAATTTCACGTGCCACAGACGGAGACAGCCGAGCCAGGCTTCACGCATGGGGTTCTAACTGCCTTCAAAGCAAAATCCATCTAAGGCGTATCGTCGGCTAAATCCGAAAATGCTACCATATCGGTCCATAAATTTTTCATCATCGTCCGCGCCGTCCGATTTTCTTGAAGCCCATATGACCTGTAGCCTGTGACCGATGTCTCCAGCAATAGGTGAACCAGCCAGAACAAGCACTACGCAAGCTGGATTGTCTGATTGAGGATCATCTCCCGCGTGTTCGTCCTGCACTCCCCCCCCCCCCCCC